GCCATGTGGTCACCTCCGGGGCAGGCGGGAGTTGAACTCATGAGGAAGTGGCTTTAGCTTCTCAGTGCTGTGCATTTACCTGCTGCGCCACCAGGGAGGGCCTGTTTTTAATTTATAAAAAAACTGTTCAGGTGCCTTATTAAATTTCTTTCCCCCTATTTCATCAGGTTCAGGTATTATTTCAACTGATTCTAAAACATCTTCAGGTCTTTTTTCTTTGTCCCGAATCCCTTTCTCACTTCATTGCCTGATGATTTCTATGGAATACAAATCTGATCAAGTTTCTGCCCTTCATCAACTGGCTTGAAACATTCCTTATGGCCTACAAGGTAATTTATAGGCCATATATAATGACCCTGCCCTCACTATTCCAACTTCCTTATAGCTTCTGTTGACTTCACAATTTTTTCATTAATACTAAACTGTGTTATTCATTTTTTTTTGGTCCAGACCATACTGATTGATGATAGTAATTGTGTTTACACCTATATTGATCTCCTCTATGTAACTTCTATTCACCCTCCAAGGATAATCTTAGCAGCCACTCTCTAAGAAGTTCTCCTGACTCATTCAGCGTGGCCTGGTGATGAAAGCTCCGGGTTCCCATGGGTCCCTGGTCCACACCTCACCCAGTTATTTACTGTGCTGTATTACTAAGACAAGCTCTCTCACACTAAGTAGTAAATGTTTGAAAATCAGAGTTTAATGTTCAGTATTCCTACCACTATATCTGATTCACTGGCAATTAACATCTAGTAAATGAAGTTGAGGGAAAATGTGCAGTAAATGTTCAAGCAGAGGTGAATCAGAGACTCTCAGTGCTGCCTGCATGCGAGAAACATCTCAAAATTTTAAAAATATGGATATCAATTATCTGCTCAAGACAACTTAAGTCAGAAGTCTTAGTTGGGGCGCTTGAGCATTTAAGCGTTGATGCCTCAAGTGATACTGTGTAGGTGACTAGAAAGCAATGGTTGGATGATGGCAGGGCAAAGATTTGGTGTCTGATGTTGCTGGTGTTCAAGATACATCCATTCATGAGATTCTGTGATTGTTGGAAATATTCCTATACCTGATTAATTTTCCCAAAATATGCCCTACACTTTATGACTATTATTTTGTCTGCATACAGGTAACTTAGTTGGCCCACTGGGAACCAAACAAGTTACTCCATGACATTTAAGTTCTGGAATGAATGCCCACCACAAAGCTACATTGTTTAAAGTAACAATAGCAAAGGGAAGAAAGGCATTAGGTTTAAATATAATGTGTGTTGTGGTATTCAGGGAAAGATTCAAATATAAATGGTTCCTCGTTCTCTTAAAATGGCACTTCTATCATTTTCAAATCTGCTGTCTCCTTGTATACAGTGATGATGGCCGGCAGTGGATTTGATTTTTTCTTATACATGTGTCTATCATAATAGAGAGGCTTTCCCACTTTTCAATTTTAGAAGCTTTTATATTTAACAGTATTTAATGTAAGTACCCCATGGAATAAGTACTTTTAATAATAAATGGATTTGGGATACTGAGTTTCCAACTTGATGACAGAGGGAAAATGATGCACTCAGTAGAAACCCAGTGTGCTTTTGGCTGTGTGTATTAATGGTGGAAGCCAGACAACCATTGTTTTCCACTTCTAGTGTAGCAGTCAATGCTTGACTACGGAGCCCTCCCTGGCGGTGCAATGGGTGAAAGCATAGCTCTGCAAGCAAGCCCCAATCACTTAAGTGCTTGTTTGATCCCCAGCCCTGAAGGTGACCCATAGGGTGCAGCAGACCTCACCTCTCTCACCCGCTCTCCCCCTGGTCAGCCTGTTCTACTACCCACTCTCTCTCTGGTGAATCCTCTCACCGCCCTGCATCTCTGGCCTGTACCCCAGTTCTGTATGAATAAATAAATCTTAGAAAAAAAAAGACTACTTAGAAGTATTAAAGGTGTTTTCAGCCTGATATTTTCAGTCTTTGATGGGACTTATTGAGACATAGCCCTATAGTAAATGGAGGAATACCTATATTCCTATTTGAAGGTCTAAAAACTTGCTCTGTAGTTTTTCAATTGCCTTATAAGAAAAGGAATACATTAAATGTGGAACATGTTTTTAAATACAGATCATATTGGGGCCTCCCTAGTGGTACAAGGGCTAAAGCACTGTTAAGCTACCCATAGCCACTGCAACACCTTTTCCATCCCCACCCAGGAAGCTGACCCACACGGCACAGCAGACCTCTCCTGTCTACTCCACTGCTCCCTTCAGCAGCGTATCTCAGTAGATCCGCCTATTCTGCTCCCCACCCTGTCTCTGGTGAATCCTCTCACACACTCCCTGACCAGCCCTCACACCTCTGGCCTATACCCTAGTTCTTGTATATGTAAATTAATACCTCTTAAAAAAATCAAATAAAAAATATGATCATGTTGAAAATTAATGTAAAAACATAACTGATCATCTAAGAATTAGAAGAAAAAGACCTAGACTTTTGCAATCCCAAAACTAATATGCAAACTCTCAATATTTTTGATTAAAAAAGTTTAATGAGCCGTAAAATAAATACACTTCCATTAAATATTAAATAAATTATTTACAACTTGAAAAAATACTTTTTATCTCCATGCATCTTTATGTACAGAAAATAAGACTTAGCATAAAAAGTGACAATTGAAAATTTAAAACCATCAGAACAAAAAGGTTCTGTTTTCTTAGACAGAGGAACCAACTCTTCACTCATGGTTGTTAGTTGGCAGTGACTCCGCTCTGATATCCTATAAGAAAATAAAATAGAGTATTAGAGATACAATCATTTCCAACATAGCTTTAAGAAAATGCCAAAAAAAAATCCAGAATTTAAAATTTTGTCTATATTTCAAAAGATTTTTTGTGAGAAATGCTAACAGGTTTTCAGGGACAAAGTATCACTTAAATTTGAATCTTTCTCACTAGCTTTGATTATCTACTCAGGGAGAAGACGGCTATTTCACAAATTCTGCTTAATAAAAAAGCAACAGTCATGAGAAATAATTTTCCTAACTAAATCTATGCAGTGGACCTAATTAAAAACAAAGATTAAGTGGCTCAGTGTATTTATGATATACAGTTAATTTAGGATAATTAGTACCGAGGACATAATAATAGTAGCTACCAGTTAATAGGCAGCCATTCGCGCCAGCACAGCATATTCCTTTTCCTAAAATCACTCTGGGACCTACTTTGAGAAATCTCCAATGCACTACACAATAAAAAAATTCCACACTCATCCATGTTGGTTATCTTATGCATATTATATCAATGCATTAATGAACTCTGATGCAATAGGTACTGAGTATAGCATTGGCATGAATTATTATCCAATAATTTTTTTGAGTTATTGAGCTAATTCTGTAATAGGCTCAAAACACACCTGCATTTAACCAATGCTCCATGCAGTGGTTCCACAAGAGTGTTAATTAAAAATGGGATAGTGACTTCTTGGATTTATGGCTTGATTTAGAGATAGGTGTTTTTTTTAATTAATTAGTTTTTTTATTTTCTCATACCATTGTTCATTTTTGTACAGTATTTGATTTCTCCCCTCAGATGTAGTCTCCATAATTCTCCCACCACCCAGGCACCCATAATCCATCATCACAGTTCCTTGTGCATTTCCCTCCCCTGTTTTGGCCCCTTTTTCTTCCCCCCATTTTTGTGAGCCTCAGATCTATCACTTGCCAGCATGTTTGTCTTTTTCCTGATCCTTTGTACAGTTACCCTTAGAATAGGAATTTTTAATAAGCATCTCTAGTACTTCTGAAACCCAGCAAAGGTAGAAAATCACTGACTTAATGATAGCTGAAAAAATGGAGTTCCCCCATCTACGTTAAGAGCGCCTTCTATCTCCCTACGTTGGTCTTCCTGTAGAAGTTTGCTTCATTAACAGTTCACATTAGTTATCAATGAAATACTCCCTTTTCTGTACCTCTTACCTTCTTCCCATGACAATTGGGAGATCCTCTTTTCTACCTTACAAAAAATTTAAAATTAAATTATATGCCTTGTGGCCCTCCCTGGTGGTGCAGCGGGTTAAAGCACAGCACTAAGAAGCTTAAGCCACTTCCGCATGAGTTCGATTCCCGCCTGCCCCAGAGGAGATCCACATGGCGCGGCAGACTTCTCCTGACCTGCACACTGCTCCCCTCAGCAGTGTACTTCATTGACCTGCCTGTTCTGCTCCCCACTCTGTCTCTGGTAAAGTCTCTCACCCTCCGCATCTCTGACCTATACCTCAGTTCTATATGAATAAATAAATAAATCTTTAAAAAAAAATTATATGCCCTGAGACACCGTCAAATTTGTACCCTACTCCCATTTCTACTTCTCTTTCACAATAATATTCAATCTGCTGCTTCCACCATCTCACTTCTGTAGTGCAAGCACTCAATTCTGGCTCTTCACAATATGAGCTCAACTTGGCATTTCTGCCTTCTCTCCTAACATGCTCATTGAACTAGGACATTTTCCACACGTTTCTAAAATGACCTCATCTATCTTGCTGTGAAAATCTTCCTTTCCAGAAATCTTATCAGTCCTCTGAGTTCACTTCCAATGCCACATTGCATAAAGAACCTGTCATCCTTCCAACATGTACCCTACTGAATTCTTTGTATTCTTCATGGAAAACTTAGGCATATCCCTTAGGGTTCTTTCATGATGACATATTTATATTCCTTAATATTCTGGTTTCTTACACATTTTTCCTTACGTCTGAACACTAAGCTCTTGGATAACAGGATCTATGTCTCCCTCATCATTGTGTCTATATGATTCTAATACTATGCACATAGTACCTTCTTAATATTGAATTCCATCTCATGTCAAAGAATAACACTTTAATGCAGCACTGCTCACAGGGGCTCCATAAATAATAACAGTACTCATTTTCCTTAACAATGTTCTATTTCTCAAAGTTATGATATATGACCAAAAGATATTTTTAAGATACAAACCTGTTTTAATCTCTTCAGTTATGCTATGACATGTGCATTTCCATTTTCTTGTCGAAGTTTCTTTCGTTCTTCAACTTCTCCTTCATAGTCCCTGAAGTATCGTTTTCGAAGCCTTCAAAGAATAAAACATTCAACTGTCATAAAAGTTTTGTTCATTTGTATGTTGACTAGGGTTTTCAAGAATATAAGGAATTCCTTTTCATGAGTCCTTACAAGCCAGTAAGCGCTATACATTAACCAAAACTTAAAACTAGCTATAAAGTATCCCCAAAATTTTTGTAAGTGGAATGTTCCTGTTGACTGTATGTACTGATATCAAATAGATGTGTTTTGAGAGGCAAACTTTTAGAAATAAGGATCACTTCGCATGTATCTCTTTGCCTTAATAATTAGCATAGTTGCCATGCACAATTGAGGGAAGATAATAACATAAGCTCACCAAAGGTTTGACTAGATTTATGCCCCGACAAACCAATTTAAAGATTAAAAGTTCCAAACAGGCTTACAAAACTAATTTGGTCTTGTTTGTTTCTAAGTATAATAGGTAGTTCCTTTTTGTTTTACTTACTGCTAATTTCTATTAATAAAATTCAATGCTACACCTATTTCTTGATGCTGCAGAAGCAATTCTATTTTTAGCATGTCTTTAATTCATCCTAAACCTTATTAAAATCAAAAGAAATTGTGGTGTTTGGGGAAAAATTCTATATATAAAACAGCACAGCTGTGGTTTAGTCTAGTATTTGTGTTTAAAATACAAGGTGACTATGGAGAAAATGTTGCTACTTTGTTCTTTCCATACATTTACAAAGAAATTCTAAATGCTTTAACTTGAATCATTACAATTTAAGGAATTATTTTAAAACATCTTCCCTAACTGGCAAATATGTCAAATAATAATGGTTTATCTGAACATATCTTTCCTAAATACATTTGCCTACCTGGCTTGACATATTAGCAGACCAAAATCACTTCCATGATGTGCAAAACAAATTTAAACCACACATTAAACTTTATTGCATTATAAAATAGATTTTTATTTGTCATTTGATCTGATCTGCATTTAAAATAATAGTAAGCAATGGTAGAAGATAACCCCTTGTTTCCTAAATGGCAGGAGTGGTAGGTCATATATTCAATCCAGTTGTTAAAGTCGTTTACCAAGACCTAAAATTAGAATAATGAGTCTATTGCTTTTCCCAAGCTCTAGTAGCTCATGAGTCATTACAGAGCCATTCATGTCCTCCCCCAACTTCCTTCACTCACTGACTTCTGTTTGACAGACAATGACATTTTGACATACCCACAGTGTCTCCTACCTGGAACAGTCTAGTTCTTACATTCATTGGCCATGCAATGAATTATGTGATCACACTGACATGTGTTATTGTGAATACAAGCAAGATACTGCTGGAGCCAAACAGTAACAGAATTGTCCCTGCTTCCTACACCATGCCATATAGAGGAAATGTGTGTGTGTTTTGTCTTTTAATAATTGAGTTCCCATATTGCACTTGATATAACAAAACGGGCATAAGCTCCAAGTAAATCAACAAAAGTACTATGAAATTCATCACTCAGAATTCTGCATTCTAATAGAAGATTTTCTTGGCAGCATGTTTGAAGCTTTTGGTGATATTTGCAGCAAAATGTATCTCTGGCAATTTCCTATGAATTAAGATAATTAGTTTCTGGGAGACTTGCTTAAGCTTAGGATAATTTATAGATATACCAGCGTTCTAAGACTTGGAAGTAAGCAGGGACATTACATGGTTTCATATAACATGATAAATAAATTCAATTTTTAAGGTTAAAAAATTTCTAGATAGGCCCTCCCTGGTGGCGCAGCGGGTTAAAGCACTGCACTGAGAAGCTAAAGCCACTTCCACATGAGTTCGAGTCCCGCCGGAGGTGAGCACATGGCATGGCAGACCTCTCCTGACCTGCCCGCTGCTCCCTTCAGCAGTGTACTTCGTCGATCTGCCTGTTCTGTTCCCCACTCTGTCTCTAGTGAATCCTCTTGCCTCCCCTGAGCCTCTGGCCTGTACCCCAGTTCTGAATGCACAAATAAATAAATCTTAAAAAAAATTTTTTTTCTAGATATTCTAGAAAATCTAGAAAAAAATGCTTTAAGTATTGTTTAAGATTAGACAGTCACCTACATTTTTATCATACTCTATGATCTTTGCCAGTAAAGTATAAAAGTCACATACCACCAATAGAACAATTCATCTGAAATCTGAAATGTGTACTTGTACTGAGAAACGAAGCCTAGCATTATTTCATTAGGAATTCTAAGTTATGCCATACTTACAGAATTGTAATAACAACAGCAATAGCTGTGAAGCTCAGAGCTGAGACAAAAGCAGCTATTGCTGCCAAAGCAATTTTCGACAAATCACTGTCAACCATGCTGTGAGTTTTCATGGACTTTTCCCCACACCGTTCTCCAAAGTAATCCTGATGACATCTGTAAGCAACCCACATTTTAAAATTATAATCATTGAAAATAATCCATATAGTTTTTAATCTCCAGGTCAAAAATAGCCATATAATTGTAACACTAAAGAAAAAAAGTCATGCATATAATCTTATTTCAAAATCATGAGACACTGAATGATTTGAGCCAAAAATCTAGTAGCACGAGAACAAGTTGGATTCAGGTATGAATCCAAGAAGACACACCTTTGCATTCTGTGTTCTCCTTTTAAGATCAACTGCTGTGATCATAAAAGTTCAGTGACTTGAAGCAAATACAGTCCACTATCACTGAAGGTGCTACAGACTTTCGAGAGGAAGGAGGATGAACTAATGTCACATGGAAATTAATTCTTTTAAATTAATGTCACATGGAAATTAATTCTTTTTTATAAAGTATACATTATAAAATGATTTGTGCTGGGAATCAGCAAATTATGGCCTATGGGTCATATCTGACCGTTTGTCAAGTTTTTGTTGTCCAAGAACTCTTTAGATTTTTAGATGGTTAAACTGAAATAGTTAGAAATACATATCTAATTTTATATATTTTATAAAGCCTAAAATATTTACTAACTAGTCCTTTAAGAAAAAGTTTGCCAATCATTTCTTTAGACCTTGAAAAAATTTATGGTTCTCTAAGGCTTAGAGTTTCAGCATGGAGTTCAAAACTCAGAATTCGATGTAACTTAGGAGAACTTACATGCATGTTACTGCTTCCAGGTGCTGTATATATTTACATTCTCCATGAATGCAGAAATTTTGAAATTCTGCATTACATGGGTTTTTCTTCTTTCTGTTTCTTTTATTTTTTCCATCTTTGCCTCCCTTTCTCTTTCTTTTGGTTTTATCTGAAGTCTTTTTACTTTCTGCTTTGTTTTTCTTGGGCTTAATTACCTGTTCAACTGAAACAAACAAACAAACTTACATGTAGTGATACTGGCTTCTTTTCATATTGAATATCATTTGACAATTGAGAGAAAAAAAGTCCAAGCAGTGAGGGCACATGGGGCTGATAACTATATTGTTTCATTAATTAACATATTTCATCTATAGTAACTGGGCAAAAAGAATCTCTATTTGGAGCATTTAAAATTCTGAATTCCTGTGTTATTTTATTAGTTTATAAACATGTTTTGAACTTACTGGTATCATTATTTATATTACTGATAATAACTATGTGTCTATTTTTAACATTTCTGAATTTTTAACATATACCAAATACTTATTGTTGACTGAATTATTATCCACAAGATAGAGACAAAGAAATTGAATTGAGTGAAAATAAGTTACTGGCGACAGACAGACAGCTGGGAAATGGTAATGGTAGGGCATTAAAGCCCATTGTTTTCCTACTGCAATATATTCCAGAAGAAGTCAATACCACTGATTCATGTGAAAATCTGCCATATTTGTCGATTTTATTTATTAAATTGATTTTAGACTCACTATCATAATTGGCAGCTAGTGGGTATTACTTGAGGGTATAAAAAACTGAGCATCAAACCAGTTTTCTTCAACTTCTAGATTCAACAGGTTATAACTTACTGATACATTCTAGGGGGCTCATTTCTGTAGTCAATTAAAAAAAAAACAGAATCCAGAAATATTTGTACTTGGTACTTCAAAGATTCACCTTAATGCTTCATATGCACAGAAATGTTTGTTAGGTGTTATAGTTATTCAAGATACTCACATGTTTACTCACATGCTAAAGGTTGGAAGAAGGACCTCCATGTTAGTGCTTTGTATTTTATTATATGACTCCCTGAATAGGTTGATTTGAGCAAGCCTTTAGCAAATGGAGTCCCATGAAAAGGGGAACATACTTCGATGTCATAACCCCACTAAGATAATGGCCCTACAGATCCCACTCAAGAGAAACCATTACAAATAGAGTGAGGCTATCAAAGACAGAACACTTTTATTAAGAAAACAACAAATAAATATTATGAAAGTTGTAGCAGATTATTAAGACAATATCAACAGTAGTTAAACTGGGAGCAATGTTTAATCGGTAGTTATGCAATTTTTATATTGCAAATTTCCTTGGATAAGAAAATAGCATAATTTAGAGTAAGTCCTCTAAGAAAACATTTTAAAAGATTACCCTGCACTTCATCAGATTGATCAAAAATTTAAGACAAACACCATGCTGAAGTGCTCTACCAGAGTTAACATTTTCGCTGTTTTATAATACATTGAATTTTGAGGACTGACATTTTGAAATGTTAAAAACTTAGACCATCTTTTTAGACTTTTTAAAGGTCTAATTACATTCCTCCAACAAACTAAGAATTGCAAATAAACTCTTCAACTTACAGAATAGTACAAGTTTGCAAAAAGTTTGCTGAAGTTTTCCCCACGTGCCACACAGGCCAGTGATACCATCTCTCTGGAATCAGCTGCTCTCCCTCCACCAGTTCTGGGAGCCACACAGAAAGGGGAACTAGGATCAGGAGAGGCTGCCTGTGTGCTGGGAGCTCTTCCATGTGGATGTGCCTAGCTTCCAGCTGATTGAGGAAGGCTCATCTGACTTCAAATTCCAGTTTCATAAGGATGGGGAACAATACTTTGGTTGTCTCATTTTAAGCGAATTCTCTTTTTTCAAAGATCAGATAAAGTAAAAAGTATGATCACTATTATATTTAACTGACAAATGGGATTTGGTGCTAAGTAGTAACTTTAGTAATATAAAATTCTTGCCTATTTATGCTTTATTTTTCCAGAGGGTGATATGATTTATTACTGTTAGTAGTAGTAGTAGCTTAAGTGCCCTTTTCTGTTACTTCTTCTGTTCCTTTATTTATGTTAAAATGCAGCTCATCTGGTCCGAGTAAAGGGTCTGTGGTGCAGCTGGTAAAGCAATAGTGTCTCAAATCAATCAAATTAGGATTTTCATTCTAGTTCAAGTGCTGGCTAACTGTAGCCCCTGGGGTAGAATATTTAAACTCTTGAGTTTCAGTTACTACATCAGTAAAATGACAAATCCTACTTAATAAAGATGTTATGGAGATCAGGCTTAACAGACATAAAACTTCAATAGAGCGCCAGACATCCAGGATGCGCTCACTTAGAGTCAGTTTGTAGCTTACCCCCTTATGCAATCTACACACAGAAAGCCACTAGAAGGCCTGGCAGAGGCTTTCCTTTGACACGACTGCTCACACAAACACATCTCATAGGCTCCCTGTTCACCTTATCCTCTACTCACCTCTGACTGAATCATCTACAATATAGCCAGATATTTGTGGTTCGTTATCATACTCTTCTGAATAGTCATAGTCGATGCCTGAGGACAGTTCGCTACCAGAAGGCATTTCACTCACAGGGGAAATCTTGCCTCCTAAGGACATCTCACTTCTTGAGGTAACCTCAAATCCATCAGCACTGTGATCACCAGAAAATGGTTCCCCTTTCTCAGAAGAGGTGTCATTGACCTCCAGTCCAGCAGCACAGTGGGCTATGGGAGAAAGAAAAGATCCTAAGAAAGGAGAAGGTAATACAGAGTGCCTGTCTCAACAGTCAGTTGTATTCAGGAGAAATGTTTATTTTCTGATATCAAAGCAGTTATTGCACATGTGCAATTGTTTGTGATTGAGTCATTTATGAAAGCAACTTCACATTTTGCCAACAAGCAAACTCAGCTGTTCCAATTACAGAGCTTCTTTCATGAAGGTTTTCTTTTCCATATAGTCTACATTCATTTATACATCAAAAAATACTGCCAAACGAGCAAACTAATCCAATGGAATTAACAATGAAGTCTAAATATTCCCGTCATACAAATAGACTCCTACAAAATGACCTGTTTGCTAGAATGCTCTCCCATCCCGATCTAATAGAGTCGAAACATAAAAACATCACTTTAACACCTGCTCACGTTTTAAAAAATTTTGTGTATAAAATGTGAAAAGCATTCTAATGGTAGTAAGGAATGATTCTTATTGTCATATTGGCACATTCTCACTGCTTTATATTTTATCCTTCTTCTTACATACACGAGAAATTGGGTACTAGTTGAAGTTAGGGAGCCAGAGTACCGGCTTTTTATCTGTCAGGTCTCATGAAAACTTCTCTGTGGGACCGCTTGCGTCCCTCTAGGAGAGGAAAGATAAAATCATCAGCCAGAGGAGGTAGAGCGTTTAGGGCCGGGGCTGCACTCCTGGCTCCTGGACTTAACTCCTCTACTCTGCAGAAATCACTTTACCTCCCTGGATCTCGGTTTCTTCTTTTAAAATGAAATGTTTAAGCTCACAAGATCTCTACGGTCTCTTTCAGCTGGAGTGCATAGTCCAAGTGCATTACTGTCTCCAGCACAGGCAATTCCAGGTTTGGAATGTGTGGGAAACCCGCCCTCTTTTTTCTACCTCCAAGGAAGGCAGCAGGGCGAGGATCTGAGGCGGTACAAAGCTGGTGGTGCCACAGGGCTCTTGCTTTCTTCCCCTCCCCCCCGAGAAACATTAGCAAAATTTAAGAAGAAGCAGCTTCTGGCCTCCCGGCAACCCGGAGCTACGAGGTCCTCACCTGAGCCGAAGATCAACAGCGACAGCACCACCGGCGCCGGCGGCAGCAGCGGGGTTCTCATTGGTCCCTCGGAGCGGCGGCGTCGCGGTCTCTGGGGCAACTCGGCGGGGAGCTGCCGGCTGGAGGAGGTGATGGAAGACTGTGGGGAACCACCCGGAGTGCGTAGCTGCGTCTCAAGCCCCGCCGGGCTCTGGCGCTGGATGCAGCGCGGGGAGCTCGCCTGGGGATCTCAGGGTTCCGACTGGGGCGCAGGCACAAGGTGTGAGAACATTCCCGAGGCGCGGCGCGCACCTGCTGCTTTATAGGCCGGGTGGAGACCCAGGCACGGCCCGTGACGTCACGGCCGCGGCCGTGGGTGGGGCGCCCCAGGGTTACTACCCCAAAACCACACACGGAAGACAGGCGCCCCACCTTCCTGGAGCCGAGCGAGCCGAAGGGAGGAAATGGAAATCCACCCTCTAGCTGCCTGCAGAAAAGAAACTCGAGTTGCTTTGAGAGCAGAGGTGGACTTTGTGTCTTTGTGACTTTCAGACTATCTGAAAAATCTCTGGAGTCCTTGACCTCAATACAACAGACAAGAGTTAATTAGAAAAGTTCCATGTGAAGATGCAAAAATTCTTTAGGATTAACAGTGACTGATATCCTTGACAAGGATAAATGAAGTTCATTGCATGACTGGAGAGCTCGCCTCCTCATGAGGGAGGCCTCGTTTTATTTGTGATAGGCTCAGATCCCAACCAAGAGCCTTTTACCAGGACTTCTGTGAGGTGATCAGAATTGCAAACCACCTCACTCCCCAATTTGTGACCCAAGGCCCTCTCAGAATTAGTATTTATAGGTCTTTTACTACTGCTGAGCTACACACTTAAACAAAATATTATCTACATCATCTCTTGCAATAATCTTGCTGGGAAAGTTTCATTTCCCCTATTTTACAAAGAGGACAAAGGCATTTTCAGAAAGCAGGGAGAAATTTCCACACCAGGTCAAGGCAGAAGTCAAATGGATTTGGTCCCAAATCTCTCTTTTCACCCTGATAAGGGAATAGAAGCTAAAGTATTCTTAAAAAGAGACTCCTGGGTAGCCTAAGGGCATAATCTTTATTGATAGTTTATAGGCTTTTGGATGAGGGTGGTGTTCACACCTGGGCTTCTCAAATCCCTAGATAAAAGGGCCACCCCTGAGGACCCATTTAGAATCAGAAAGAGCAGTTAATTTTGACCAGTACAGGAAATGAAGGGGAGGGAGGAGCTGCTTGATTTGACTAACTTTGATGTAGAGACAACTCCAGAGCCAGATTTTTCTTCACTTGAGGTAGAGAAAAAAAGCATTGTTCTCTCTGTTTCCTTGTCCCTAAAGATAAATATCTCTTGCCTGGTTGCTCCAGTAAAACTGCCTTTTTTCTTTTTTTTTAGGAATGTGGATCACAGCTTTTCTCTCCCAATATAAAGAAACTTTAAAAACCACTTGCTACTCAATGGCATAAGGTGGTGAGTAGACTAAATAGCGTACACTTAGTAGCTGGAACAAAGTCATAAATCATGCCTTTGTTCCTATTCAACATTTGTTGAGAGCATATTTACTGTAATCCTCTTTTTTTTTAAAATTCAGGGGACAGTAGATAAGAGATTAAATTATTAAAAAAAAAAAAGCATAACTTACTCTCCAAAATCTCATATGGTATGGGACAGACAGGTAGAAAAGTAACTGTTATTACAGTAGATGATAAGAAAGGTCCAGAATGCCATGGAAATGAGGATGCAGTTTCACTTTTCCCATGTGTATTATGAAATATTTTGTAAAAAATGGAGAGACCAGTGGCTGGCCCAGTTTAAATGGAAGGAAGTTTAAATGGAAAGTTTAAGTGAAAAGTTTAAATGGAAAGAAGACCTGGTGACAGGATATGACTGAAGGTGGCAAGCAAGGGTAGAAAGATGGCACTGCCCATTCCAGATGGTGGCAGGGTCCTGCAGAGTCATCATTTTTGGTTGATGAGGTGATTGTGATTCAGAGATTCAGGGCCTTGCCCTTAGATTTCAAAAGAAGGTAGATTTTGTTTAGTGTTCAGACTGTCAACCCTACCTTGTTGCATTTTTCTGATCTCACAGACTTCATTTAGGTTTTCGGCCTATTCTTTCCATTGTCTTACTTTTTCTTCTAATGCAAGTTGTGCATATCTGTCATCAGAAATGTTTTATTTGCTGTCGACATGGAAGTGTCCCCTTTACATTGGAAATTGCTTAGTCTTTTTCCCAGTGAAAATTTAGAAGGTGATAATTTGCATTGTTCTGGAATATAACATTGCATCATGAGGAGGGAGAGCTAATAGTTAGTATGAACTTTATAGATTCCAGTCAGCTGGGTTTTTCATATACATTCTGCCACATACTGTTACAGGACAAGGAGAGGGGCACCTCTGAACCCCCAAACCTGCCTGGTCTAAATAGGTTCTGCCATCTGCTGCATCAAGACAAAACATATAAACCTTTAATGAAAAGGAACTTTAATACAGTGAGTATACAATGCAGAAGACAAAGAATATAATTTCTAAATCAAACACCTGAAGTTACCCATCCCCTCATGGGCAAAAGTCCACCCAAAGGGGTTGGTCCAAAGCAAGACCTGAAAGTCCACCAGAAGACTAAAGCACCTTCTGGTTGGGGCCCATAGAAAAGGGTCAGAACTGACCAGACAAGTCTGGGAGGAAAAGAGCAAAATCAAAATCAATATAAGCACTGCCATAGTCAACCTCCCATGGGTCTGTCACCCACATCTCTTTCAACCATTACTCCAGGGCCAAGAAATAAACACAGTTTCTTCACATGTCTCCCTTTGTTCCATGTGGCTTCCTCAGGTCTCCTTCTGGCTCTCTATCCTGCTTCCTTTCTCCTCATGTTTTCTTTCTTTTTCTCTTCTCAGGTCCACCTTACTTCTGGGTGGGGCAGGGACCCTGGAACTTCCTCTTTTCCTAGGGACCACCCAGTTACAATACTACATTCTATTAGATGATTTATTTATTCATTTATCTTTATTTTTTGCAGGGAAAGACTGAGGTATAAGCCAGAGGTGTGGAAGGTGAGAGGATTCATCAGAGACAGAGTAAGGAACAGAAGAGGCTGATCTACTGAAATATACTGCTAAGGGAAGCAGGGAGAGGTAAGACAGGAAAGGTCTACTGGGCCATGGGTGGGTTAGCTGCCTGGCCAGGAATTTAATGAAGTCTGTAGCAGGGAAACCCCCTGAAAGACTCAAATTCCCCATTACAAATAGGAATAAAGATATCTGCCTACAGCTCAAGTGAGCTAAGATATATAAACAAGTAAACAGATCTTTGCATATGGTGAATGTTCGGTAAATCATAATTATATTAATCCTGATGTTATGATAATTATATTAATCACATTGAAGAACAAGTAACTTAAAAATGGAGCTACTTACAAAGTAAAATAGTCTTCAGAATCTCAAGACATGAACTTTGTACCTACTTCACATTAAGACTAACAATTTTGAATATTTTATAGTGCATCATAAGGTAAAAAGGAGCATCACCATAATTGCATCATAATGCAGCACCCCTTGATGAATCATGGCATTCTAGAACATATGCCTGAAAAGGAGACAGAGCTCATTTAAGTGCAGGATTATTTACATTCTGTATGCTAAACTGAGACAAAGCGGGAAGTTTCCAAGAAATTTAAGTATAGTTGTAACACTATCTTGATCGATCAATTGATGGTTCTCTTACCTCATATAAGATTAAGGGCAACCCTTAGGGCAAATACTCTTGTCAGCCACATAATTTGGTGTCTAATATCTGAATCCTAATAATGTTTTATATAGAGAGTGGGAACAAATTTAACTAGACTATGCTAAAATGTGTGCTATACAACCAAAAGTGTGATTATGTGTTTGTTCATGTAATTTATCTTGCATTTTTATAGATAATGCCAGAGTCTATGTTAGGATTATTTTTATGAGTCAACATGAATCTTAAACTACAATTAAGAAAACCTCCAATTCATAAGTAACATTTCCTGTATTATTAACCAATATATTTATTCCATACTTTTCACCTTGGGATTTATCCATTCTAAAGAACATATAATTTCTATTTCCTCTAAAACCAGCCTGTAACTGAGCTTGATTGTTGAGTACTTTGACATACTAAATTAAAGTACTTACTCTTTGTATTCTTGACTTCTGCAGAGTGAGGACAGCAGATGAATCTCAAGGCTACCAGGGAGGGCCCTAGATTTCTTTTATTTAAGAGAAAGAATTTGTTGTCTTTTAGGCCAGTGTTATATTTTCTAGTGTTTACATTTGACCCAAATACTGAATGGTTTGATAATCCATGAATACTGTTCCATTCATTATGATCTTCAACATCCTCCAGCCAGACCCACCAGGAACACAGGTGAATAGTAGAAGTGACAGAGAATATAGACAAGGAGAACCACAATATCTCTATGAGTGTCTGCAAAGACATACAGATTTGGGCTTGTGTTGGGTGTGTTGGGGAAAGTTGAAGGACAGAGAAATTCTCTGAATTATATCCTCTTAGGCAATGGGAATAATTCTAGGATGGGTATCTTTACATGTTTCATAGAAGGAAAGAGAGTAAAGCTTTAATTTAAAAGAATCAGCAGTCACTGATTGCGGTTAGAGTTGGAGGATATTTGGTCATTGTTTTGAGGCTTTTACAATGATCATGTTTTGTCTGTGTTTAAACATGATTCTATGGTGGTCTTGCTTTAGTCATAATTCACCATCATCACAGGGTGGAATTGTTCAATGTTGACGATCTGTGAAATTATTTACATGCAAAAGAACATCTAAGCTGAGGTGATAGTACAAATCTAGATCCTGATGTCAAGGACTCCTTTTTTCTTTCTCATTTGCAACAGTACTTGGTTGGATGAATTAGCAAGTGTATAGTAAGCATATTAAGGAAATTCATTTATTGTCTTCATTTCATTGTTGCTAAAGTATCATTTGAATGAACACCATTTTTTTAAGTAAAAATTTCCACACAAGAAAAAAGGGGGGTGATTAGGTTAATGA